AAGTCTAGAACTCCCATTGCAAAAAATCTAGTAGTGTTCTTTAATAGCAATTTTTGATTTGAGAAACAAATAAATTCTGTTGTAAAAGCCAGCTTCTTCCAGCTCAGGGCCTTTGCAAAAATTAAGAACATTTTGTCATCTGCTGACTTCGAGAAAGTAATTCATGCATTCATTTCATCCAGGCTTGACTCCTGTAAAAGTCTTTATTTTGGTATCAGCCAGGCTCTGCTCTCTCGTCTTCAGCTTGTTCAGAATGCTACAGCCCGACACTTGACAGGCACTCGTAAACATGACCATATTTCCCCAGTCTTGGCTCATTTACAGTGGCTTCCAGTACTTTACAGTACAGTAGAAATGATTTTAAGATTTTACTGTTTGTTTTTAAGTCTCTAAATGGATTAGCTCCATCAGACCTCTCTGCTCTTTTAACTAAAACTATTCCAAATAGGTCAGCTGATAAATTGCTTCTAGTTGTCCCTTGAAGCAGGCTAAAAAACAGTGGAGACCAGGCCTTTGCAATTTCTGCTGCCAAACTTTATAATAGTGTCTCTTCAAATTAGGATCTGATCCGTCTGAAAACACATTTTTAATCACTAGCTTTTAATTGTGACTGAGTTTTTGTTTTGTTCTTTGTGTGTGTTTGTTAGACTTATCGTCAAGACCGCCTAAACCAAGACCAGGGCAATACCAAGACCAGAGGGCATCGAGACCAAGACAAGACCAAGACAGACCGAGTCAAGACAAAGATAAAGTCGAGACAAGACAGAGACCGAGACAAAAAAAAGTCTTTATACTACAGCCAGATGCTGCTTCGTTTATGGGTGTCAGGCATATTCATGTGTTTTTGCGATGCACCTGCACAGCCCTTCTCACCGCTGTCTACCGTCTCACTCACTTACTGAGAGGACAGACGCACGCTCCACTTGACTGTCGCGTCTCTCACCCTCTCTGTTTTTCACATAATGATATTATCCTATATCCTCGCATGTGATTGGCCACAATATGGAGGAATTGGAGCATAGCTGAGCCACTGTGTGAGAGCTGAGCAGTGAAAGGAAATTAAGTGAGGAGGTGGCTCTCGCTCAATGAGAATCGACTCTTCTGATTCACTACAAAGCACTCTCTAAGCACGGCTTTTAGAGCTGATGCTTTTGCGCATGACACATTATCGAACGTTGTGTATCATGGATACTGATTAATATTAATACTGTTACATATTAAACCTAGCCATATTTTCAAATTATGAAATATATATTTCATTTCACATATATTATATATACGTGATACTGAAAGCTTCAAACCACTATGAATGCTCAGTTTGCGAGTTCTTTTCTATTTACAGAGCTGTGGGATGTCACAGCTGTGGCTGTGAGTTAGCAGCTCCACCCACCTGCTTTGGGTGGAGCTTGTGGTTGTTTTGATTAGACTGCCAATCACAAGGAAGCTGACTTGAAATGCATGCAGTATCAAAGCCAAAGGTTCACTCCAGAGCATGGATGGCATGGGGAACTCTGACAGAGACCAAGAACTGCTGCAAATGAATATAATATCTCCCTATTAAGATGTTGAAAGGGCAGAATGATATGAAACGATCTGCGAAAGGTTCAGTTTTATAAAAATTCAGGTTTAAAATAAAGAAAATAAAATGTTTGTTACAGTAGATTGACACAAAGCATTTCCACACAAATTCCACTTCTGGGCAAATGTGATTTATTGTTCTGTAAACACTTGTTACAATGTGGTGTTAGAGAATTACAATAAAAATATCACTCAAATATATTATTAGAACCAGAATTACTTTTACTTAAAAAAAGAAGCAAATTTGCGGTTGTACAAAAACACATTAAGTTGCTTTCTTAAACTTTGTAATGATTAAAGACAGCTACAGATATATTTCTGCTTTTGCAGTTTAAACATAGTTCAACCAAACAAAATCTTTGAGCTGTACTGAATTTAGTATTAATAAATAATAAAAACTGCATTAAAAAAGACAGAGAAAAATCAGTAATAACTTACTAAACTAATAAAAAAAACTAAAATATGAAAAAAATGATTGAATTATGAAAACCCATGACTTTTGAAATACACTTAAAAGAATTATCATGTTAACCAGTTCAACGATCTTGAAGGTATTCAGGCAGCTTGTGTTACGTTTCCCATGAAATTTCTTCTCTGAATACATTTGGTGAGGTTTCCCAGCAAATCAGGTAGTGGCTGTTCTTTTTCTGACGGCCGTACTTTCTTGAGTACTTCTTTGCAGTCCATCTGAAAGACAAGAATCTGTGTTCAGTATATATGCTCAGTTTTGCAGATGTATTTGTCTACCTAAAGTGAGATTAGCACATTGTCTCTAAATATTTACAACACAGACTGACGCTTTTCTTTCCAAACTCCTTAGACTATGATGACCTGGATGACTGAGAACCTTCACAGACTACACAGATTTGTTGTTCTTAAGTTAGAGATGTGTCAAAATAGATAACTTACATCTGATTTCTTAATGAATATTTCCAGGTTTCTCACAATTTCTTTCTCGTTGTCATTTTTGGCATGCTTTTGTAGGATGTCATGCACTTTGCAGAAGAAGTTATTCTGTACGGAACACAAGGACGGATTTATAAGCTTTTAAAAACACATGCATTTACAATTATATAAGTTGGCTAGTGTTTTTTCTGCAGTTTGTAAAAAAAAAAAAAAAGACAACTCAAACTTCCAATCAGCAGAACAATTCAAGAAAACTGAATGAATTAAAAGGAACATTGTTTCAAAGACATGAAAAAATGTCTCCTCACCCCACATCCATTGTCAGCCAGGTCAGACACATCCTCCACAAAGAACCTCTGTAAGATCCAAGAAAAAATTACTTTGTCAGGTAACACATTTAACATATTGAATCAGATAAGGCACCAAAAAATGTAATAGAAAAAATATTTGTAACTGAACATTGCAAACACTTTTTAAAGGTTTTAACAAGTTAGGGCACCAAAAAAATGTTACAAAAATTTCAAGCTAAGTGTCACTCAAACAATTGTGCTTATACGATGAACCCTTACCTCATTCAGATCTCTGTTGTATTTCTCAGTCAGGTCAATGATACGGTTTACGTTGTCGTTAGGGACAGGATTTGCAGCATATGGATTGATCAGCATGGCCACAGCAGACACCAGCACAAACATCATCATCTCCATACTTGTTGTTCGTTTGTTGAAAACCAGAAGTCCTTGAAGTTGTTGTGAAGTGCTGGCTGAGAGCAGATTATTTATACCTGCTCTGTCTACGCCTTCATTACGTTTGCCAATTACAAAAAAACCAAAAAGCAGTCTGCAGCGCCTTGGCGATAAGATCCATGATTAGTTTGTGGTCAATGAGCAGAAAAGAAACTATTTTTCTCAGAATAACCAGACTTGGTTGCATTACAGAAAAGATAAAAAAAAAAATGGTACTTTCAAAAGAAACTTCATTACAGACTGTGATCCACGCAAAGTGATTTCTTGGAAGTATACTGCTGAAAAAAATGGGGGAAGACTCAACCAATCTTAACTTCGATTTGCGGTGCGATTTTAAATCTGGCCAAAGGGCCGATGATTTTGGTTTCCACTGAAAATTGTTACATCATTTCCTACTGTACAAATTACAGTGAATGGTAGTGAAGATTTTTGACTTGAGTATTTCATTCACAATCTGATACGTTAATTAAATGTTTCCTTAATCCCTTGGATGGATTCTTACTTCAATGTTGTTATACTAAATTCTGGTTCTAAATATTGCAGCAGAAATCGAGACTCAACATACTTGGCGATGATTTAAATGTTTCTATTGTAGAATTGTAAACTGTAGCCTCACTATGTTATTCTTAGCAAACAGGAGTGGCACCTTATGTGTCTTCTGAGGATGTACCCTTTCTGCGTCGAAGTTCAGTGCAATTGGGCTACAGTATAAGATGTGTTGTGCATTCAGAGATGCTCTTCTGCATACGATCAATCTAACAATTGGCTATTTGACTTAGAGTGTTCTTCCTATTAGCTTAAAGCAGGGGTGGGCAACTCCATGCCTCAAGGGCTGGTGTCCTGCAGGTTTTAGAAGTGTTCTTGATCCAACATAGCTGATTCAAATGGCTAAATTACCTCCTCAACATGTCCTTTAGTTCTCCAGAGGCCTGGTAATGATCTAATCATTTGATTCAGGTGTGTTGACCCAGGGTGAGATCTAAAACCTGCAGGACACCGGCCCTCGAGGCATGGAGTTGCCCACCCCTGGCTTAAAGCAGTCTGGCCATTCTCCCCTGATCCCTGCTATCATGAAAGTATTTTCACACAGATAATTCGGTTTTACTTTTTCGGTTCATTCTCTGTAAACCTTAGATTGTTGTGTGGGTAAATCCCAGTAGATCAGCAGTTAATGAAATACTCATCTGGAACCAAGAAACTCGTCACGCTCAAAGTCACTTAAATCACTTGTGGTCCTGATTCTGATGCTGTGTTTAAACTTTAGCAGGGCATCATTACCATGGCTACATGTATAAATATTTGCTTTCCGCCATGTGATTAACTGCTTAGATATTTTTGTTAATGAGCAGTAGAAGAGATATACATACAAAAGTGGCCAGTAAGTGTATATGCATACACACAATGTTAGACTGAGAGGTGGTGGTATCCTTAATATTGTTATCTCAGGTACACAGCTCTGTCAGTCAGTACAGCAGCTCCACCCACCTGCAGGTTAAACCTTCCGTTAGGGATGAGCAACCAATGAGAAAAGCTTAGGGAGTGTAGTTTTCAAGCAAAAGGCTAATTTCAGACAGTGGATGGACTGAGAGTCTGCAGCTCGGTCAGTATAAATGAATCATGCAAAGTTATGCTAACAGAAGCCAAGAACTAAAATAGTGAGCCACAAATGACGCCATCATCAAAATGTGATCTTAACAGCCAAATGTGTGTAAAAGTTAATTGTCTTGCTATAAAGCCCAAAGCATTTCCATACAAACTGGGACTTGTGGATAAAAGTGATTTATTATTGTTCTGTAAACACTTGGTTCAATGCAATGTGAGACAATTGCAATAAATATGTAATACAAATATATTAAAAATCCTTAACTTAAATAAAAAATAAATACGCAGTTGTACAATAACGTCAAGTTGATCTGTTGTGCTGTTTGACGACAGCTACACATACATTTTTACAAATGCAATTAAACACAGCTCAGTCAGATATGTCTTTGCTAATGTACCGAATATAGCTACTATTAAATAACATCAACTGCATAAAAAGGAAGAAAAATACGGTCTTAAACTATAGAATGAAATAAATATCCAATGCTTGAATTGTGATAAATTACAAAAAGAAAAAAAAAAGAACAAAGAAAATGACTTGTAAGCATTATGACAGACAGTCCACAGATCTGGAAGGTATCCAGGCGTGTTTTTATTTTCCACTGAAGTTTCTCTTCTGAATGCATATCTTGAGGTTTTCCAGCAAAGCCGGTATTGGCTTTTCAGTTCTTGCCTTCGGCACAGTCTTCAGTACTTCAGTGCAGTTCACCTGAATGACAAGAAATCAGCTGAGCTCAGTACAATATGTTTTATTGTTTTGCAGATTCTTTGTCTCACCAAAGACACAACAGGTAGATTTAGTACATTATCTCTAAAGGTGCGTAATACAGATTTGATGTTCTTATATAGGAAATATGTCAGAGAAGATATCTTACATTTGTGCCGTTAATAAACACTTCCAAGTTTCTCACAATCTCCTTCTCTTTAGATTTCTGCTGCTTTGTGGCATGATTTTCCAGGATCTCGTGCACTTTGCAGATGAAATTATTCTGTATGAAACATAAACAAGTATTAGCGTTACAAATAAACACAATTAAAATGTTAAAAGAGATCACTGTTCTTATTGCAGTCTCTCAAAAAAGAAACCTGAATGGAAAGCTTGCAAACTGTTTCAAAGACATGAAAAGTAGTCTTCTCACCCCACATCCAGATTCAACCAAGTGTGTCACATCCTCCACATAGATACTCTGCAACGTTGGAGAGACAAATTGTCACAATCAAGTTTTAAAAACTTGAACAAAGCAGAAAAAATAAAAGTAAACTAACAACAAGAACAACAAAAAGCTCTATGAATGCTAAGAGGCAGTTAAATGTATAAGATACGGTCTTACCTCATTCAAAGTTTTACTGTATTCTTGAACAAGGTCAATGATATTGTTTAAGTTCATATTGCAGATGGGATTTGCAGCACATGGACTGATAAGCAGGGCCACAGTAGACACCAGCACAAACGTCATCATCTCCATACTTGTTATTAGTTGGCTGAAAAGCTGAAAAGCCTTTAAAGTATTTCTGCTCAATTGTCAGCTTGCAGGTTGCTGTGAGGTCTTGGCTGATGAACAGATTATTTATACTTGCTTTGCCCACGCCTTTACCACAATTGTCAATTACAAAAAAAACCCCAAATGCAGTCTGCAGCGATGGAGAGATAAGACTCATGATTAAGTTGTGGTCAATACGCAGCTTGAGAAAGGAGAACAGTTTCTCTGAAATGAGTCTATACGGTGGGCTGCATTACAAAAAAGGAGAAGAAGAAAACAACAGACATCTATTTACAATGGTTACTTGAAAATATTCTCATAAAGTTGAGAAGACTTGACTAGTCTGAAGTTTGATTTCTGATGTGGTTTTCAATCCCGCCCTCATACAGGTGCTGGTTTTTGTTTAGACTGATTACTATTTCATCCGTTTCTACTGTACAGATTACACAGAGTTTGGCAGTAAACATTTTTCGACTTGATTATTTAATTCATGAACATCTGATGTTTTAGCCGTTTCCTCAATCGTTTGGTCAAACAGTAACTGTAATCTGCAGTTTTGCCCTAATTTTCTTACCTAGAAACAAGTCTGAGATGATTTGAGCTTCGTGATTTATGATCACCATTTTTTTTTATTAGTCCTTTATCTATCCACGTAAAAATCTCATTGAGATTAAAAAAAGAGAGACCTGGCATCATGGCAACAAAAGTCAAAAATGCATGTACCTCATAAGTATATAACATTTAAAACAAATACAATATCCCCGTACGAACATGTGAAAAATATACAATAACAGATCAAATTAAGAGCGATATTAAAAACAATCACACTGAGTAAAAGAGTTATTCCATCGTTCCTTTAAGATGGACTTAAACTCCCCCAAGGTAACCAATTCTAATAATTTTAGTTCCTTCTGCAGATTATTCCAGGAAGCAGGGGCAGCGTATTTAAATGCCCTTTCCCCCAATTCTGTTCTGATTTTTGGGACAGATATTGTGAAAATTAAGGCTGTACTGGTTGTGGTTTTTACACATATAAACACATAAATAAGAGGGAACCAGCCCAAGGAGAGATTTATAGGTAATATGGTGCATTATCCTGCTGGAAATGCACCATATCATGCTGAATGCAGTGCATCCACTGCTAACCTTTGTATATTGTATATTTTATTTTATACATATGTACACACACACACACACTTGTATATATACATATTTGGTATACATATTCAACATTAATGAATCAATGGTACGGAAATGGAGAAAGTAAGGAGAATGAGTTGAGCAAAGTTTGACTTATCTGGCTGTTCTGTTTCACTTAATGCGCCTTATGGTCTGAAAAATACAGTAAGCATATTCCTACGAGAATCCACCCTTGTGTATATGCAACTACCAGCCATTTTGTTAGGTACACCTGTTCAGCTACAGCATCATGTTGACCTTTGAATCAAACAGACTAGCAGCAGATTCTGCTTTTGACATCTAAGAACAGGAAACTCAGTCTACAGTCCACAGAGGCTCACCAAAATGAAACAAGGGGACTGGAAATCGATTTTTTGGTCTGATAACATTCAGACAGTGTTGTGTGGCAGGTGTTTTGTTGCCAGACTTGGGAACGCTTGCGGGGTGGCTCTAGCTCAAGAGACACCGCAGACATTCTTATATTTGTTCTTAGAATTCTCATTCTTATATTTTGCTTTGTTCTTATGTCATTGTATTTTGCACACCTCTGTTGCTTGTGAAGCTTGCACACAAGAATTTCACTCACATGTGCTGTACCAGTGTACCTGCACATGCGATGTGACAATACAAGTGATTTGATTTGAAGTGGTAAATGGACCGATTCTGCTTTTCTACTCCCAGAACATTCAAAGTGCTTAATCCAACATGCCTCATTCACCCATTCACACCTGCACTTTCTTCTATGCTTAAATGCTTTCTATCTACCAATCGCACACATTAATGCTCCAATGGATGCAGGTTAGTATTTTGCATAAGCATATTTGTCATGCAGATCAAAGCAGCCAGGACTCAAACCACCAATCCTCTGATCAGCAGATGAGTAGATGATCTGTGGTGTCTCTTGCGCTAGAGCCACCCCACAAGCGTTAAAAAGTCTGGCAACAAAACACCTGCCACACAACACCGTCTCAATATTATCAGAACAAAAAAAAAAAATCGATTTCCAGTCTCCTTGTTTCATTTTGGTGAGCCTCTGTGGACTGTAGACTGAGTTTCCTGTTCTTAGATGTCAAAAGCAGAATCTGCTGCTAGTCTGTTTGATTCAAAGGTCAACATGATGCTGTAGCTGAACAGGTGTACCTAACAAAATGGCTGGTAGTTGTATATACACAAGAGTGGTTTCTCTTAGGAATATGCTTACCGTATTTTTTCAGACCGCCAATCTCTCAGTCAGAACATGCTATATCATGTTTAGGTAGAAACTAGTGAACTAACGTCCTGCTAATTTCCTACTCCATTAAATGTAATAAATTCTGTTTTCATGGATGCCTGGATGTTAAACTTAATTGTTACACCTGGTGAAGCAGCAACACTCATCATTTTATTAAAGATGAAAACATTTAAACAGTTTTTAACTCTCAGTGATGCTGCAGTATTTGTCTGACTTTGGGACCTAAAGAAGACGGAGTTTTGGACCCAGATTATTCCATGAGGCTCCTGACTACAGTAGCCGTAATGCTCCAACAATCCATCAAGTGGTGCGGCTTCGTAGCTTGCCAAAGTTGTACTGAAACATTTTTTGACAGACTTTTAAGCGCCTTGTACCACATAAAATTGGTTTGAGGTCAGTAAGCACACTACATATGATTTTTGAGAAAACTTGAAGGATTTTAAGTGTGCCTTATAGTCCGAAAAATACGGTACATGAATCTAAGGTACACAGTTGTGGCTGTGAGTACAACCAGCTACTCCTAAACCTTCTATGTAGGAGGAGCTACCAATCAGAAGACAGCTGGCTTACAGGGAGTGTAGCATTGAACCAATCATGCAAAGTAATTATAACAGAAGTCAAGATACTGAACTGAAAATATTGACAAGTATGTCCCCCTTTCAGACAATAGGGACTGAAGGACTGAATAATACGAGACAGCTTGTCAGAAGTAAGGCGTCATCAAAATTTAATATAAAAATAAAACAGGATCAAAATGTCTGTTAAAGCTGACTGTCTTAACATAAAGTACAAAGCATTTCCATACAAATGCAGCTTGTGAGAAAAACGACTTCTTGTTCTGTAAACACTTGTTTCAATGTGGAGTGAAAGAACTACAACAAACATCCAAACATATCAAAATGTGAACTGAACTTGTTTTAAATAAAATATAAATATGCAGTTTACAATAATGTGCAGTTGCTACCTTAACTGTTGTAAAGTTTAATGCCAGCGACGGATGCATTTTTACTTATGCAGCTTAAAAATAACTCAACCAAAAACGTCCCTGTGAAAGCACTGAATGTAGTTGCTATTAAATAACAAATAAACTGCATAAAAGAGAAAACTATACCAGAAAATAAATATCCAGTACTTTAACTGTATCAAACTGTGACTATGAAAAACATTTGAAGACGTTACCAGATGTCAGACAGTTCACGGATCACGAAGCTATTCAGGCATTTTTGTTTTTAGATTCCCATGAAGTTTCTCCGGCGAATGCAGTTTGCAAGGTTTTCCAGCAAAAACGGTATTGGCTTTTCGGTTGTTGCATGAGGCACGTTAATTAGTTCTTCTGTGCAGTTCACCTAAAAGATAAGAAAACACCTGGGTTCAGTATGATCTCGCTCACTGTATTGCAAATGCAATTAGTACATAATCCTTACATATTTGTAATATAGATGGGACATTTTCATTTGGCAAAAAGATATCTTACATTTCCTTCTTTAAAAAACACGTCCAGGTTTCTCACAATCTTCTTATCCTCCGTTCTGTCGTGCTTTTTCAGGATGTCATGCACTCTGCAGAAAAACTTATTCTGTATGCAACAGGAGCGAGAACATATTCACTTCAGACGTGTTTAAAATGAATGACATTTAAAAATGTAATCCAATAAAACTGAATGCTCTACAGGGAACACAGTTTCAAAGAGATGGAAAAGGATCCTCTCACCCCACATCCAGATTTAACCAAGTGTGTCACATCCTCAACATAGAACTTCTTCCACATTAAATAGAAAAAATATTTGTCAACATTTAAAATTTTAACACACTTTCAAGTTTTTTAACAAGTCAAGGCACCAAAAACGTTATAAAATGTTCAAGCTAAGAGTCAAAAAAACACTCGTGCTTATGAGATGAGCCCTTACCTCATACATAGTTTTATTGTATTGGTCAGCCAAGTCAATGATATGGTCTAGGTTGAGACTCCGGACGGGATTTGCAGCACATGGACTCATCAGCGCAGCAGACACTAGCACAAGCATCATCATCATCATTTCCATACTTGTACTTCGAGTGAAAACCTTTAGAAGATGTGTCCTCAAAAAAAGCCCTTGAAGTGGTTGTTTGGCTGTAGTCAGATTCAAGTTTGTTCTGAAGTCTTGGCAGATAACAGATTACTTATACTTGCTTTGCCCACGCCTTATCACATTTGCCAATTGCAAGAAAAAAAAATGTACGAATTGTGTGACAAAATTCTTGATTAAGTTGTGGTCAATGAGCAACTTTGAGATAAAGGTGCTGTGTTTCTCTGAAATAAATCTACAGCAATTAAATAATCTTACCTTTGATTTGTGGTGTGATAATAGGTTAATAACTTTGGTTTCCACTGAATGTTCTGTAATTTTATTCTCAGCTAATGACAAATGTACACCAGCTAAGATTTTCAACTTGAATATTCCATTCATCACAATCTGATATGAGACTTATGTGTTCTTTAGGGGCTTTTTTTTTTTTTTTTTTTTTTAGCTATATATGAATTTCAATGTGTAATTTCCCCCTATTTTTTAAGCAAAGCATGTGCTGTTGCTGAAAATGCCATCTGATGGCTGCTGGTCACTAGTCAGAGCAGTATTTCAATAAATATGTAGAAAAGTTTCGACAGTTTTTAGCAGTTTTATTTTTCCCCCAAAACAAATCCAAACAGCTCTTTTCCTCATGCTGGATTCCAGCACAACAAGCAAATTCTTCATGGATTAGAATCAAGCTTTTTGTCCTTAAATATTTCTGATGTTAACAGAAGCCTATTGCTTTTGTTTTGGCACTTCTAACAGTTTCTTAAGGATAATTACGGTTATAATACGTTTATATAAGGTTATTGACAACTGACTTCAAAAACAAACACTATCAACCAAACATGCCTTTGCATATCAGTTAAATTATAGTCAGTTATTAAACAAATGATGTGCGAATGAGTTTTCTTCATGCCTCCTGAAAAGCAAACCTGAACGTGGTCTTTGCCCAAATAAAATCAAAGCAAAGAGATAAAGCATTAGTTTACATTTCCAAAGCAGCTTTTCGAATCACTTCAGTGCTCAGTGAAGATAGGATGAGAGGGAATGGATGCTGCACTTTGTGATTTCAGAGTTCTGATCCTGGTTCTTACGGATACGATAGAAATGTTCAATGTAGCTGGAT